TCCACTGTCTGATGCTGGGAATCATGACAACTACTACGGCAGACGACTTCGGACTAGGTGCGTTCTACTATGTCACCCTGACGACAAGACCAAGTTGCGACAACGACGTCAACCCACTTATATTACCAATAAGCTTCCAATGGAGCCCTCATGCGATATTTTGCTTTTTGTATCTTCGTTTATATTCATAATTTCGGTTTTGTATCTCGGCCATTAGGTTACTTAGTGAATGGCTTTATCTTATCCTTATTATTGCCTGCATGTGTCAATTGTTTTTCGTTTATAAATATGCTTTTGGGACTACCAGTAAATCATTTATATGAGATGTCAATTATTTGCCTGTGAGCAGCTCTATACGGCCTTAGTAATTTTTCAATTACATCTAAAGTATTTTGTTTCTACTGGGTGTTCAAGTTTAAAAGATATCTACCTGCATATATTTAAAATTTAAGAGTCTTATTGCTTCCTATATTTTGCATCCATGATATTTGGCGGGTACCATGCGTGAGCCTGACAGATATTTAGAACACTTCCTTTCATATTCTTTGTATTGAATTACAAACGTGCTAGAAATACATAAAAGTAATGCCCTTTTTAAAAACAAGACTAATCTTCCTTTTTATCTTTCTATTCAACACATTCTGTCTTAATACACGTTCCTCCAATTCCTCTTTTGTTTAGGGTAGACAGTTTGATTTGAACTGATCCAAAAGCTCTACTAGAATAAAGCTAACTATTAAATCCATGGCAAAACTTTTTAGGTCGTAGATTTGATTTTGGCATCTGGCCTGCATCACCCTGGGCTAATATACAGTAACCATATCTATTCTGTCACAATTTGATGAATATGCGGTCCTTTGTCTATCCGCTGTACTAGGAAGAATCCAATGAATATTTTTAATGACTGTACTTGCATTGGTGTAACAAAAGCGAGGCATACAATATCAGGTTGATTTTGGCCAAGAATGACGGTGCACCACTTTTATTTTAGGTGCTGTTATCTGGTTTTGCCATGATTATTTAAAGTAAAGACTCGCCAAAATATGTAAAACATGGATGACACCTCATCTCTACAAAGTACATCGAATATTGTAATTTTATGGCAAGGGTAAATCTTTTAATCTTATTATGAGCAGATCAACAAAACATCAATCGACTAGTTGTTCATCTACATTCAAGCAATTTTGCATTTCTGCTCCGATGAAATAAAATAATTGAGCATTCGATTTCAAATATGGCTCCTTATTTGTTTTGATACTCATTTCATATGATGACGATGATAATACTACTAATAATACTTCACTTAGTTTTTATTGCTTTCGAAACCGAATTTAATTGCACCCAATTTTAGAAGAGGATTTTTCTTTTAATAACCTTAACTAAATGAATACTTATTGTCATTCATTGTGATATCTTCGGTATCTTTACCGTGAATACTTGTGCTTTAATCTTTATTCAAAAGTTTTGGCTTCATTTTGTATTTGATGTCATAAATACTTCAAATACGCCAAGTAACAAACTTTATTATTCCATATATGCTTAACAATCAGTTTATCCTTATTTTGATTTATTTATCTCTAGTTTTCGAAAACAGGTGAGCTAGGTAACTGTTCCTAGCTTTTCACTACACCGATTTCAACAACTTTATTCCGTTCTGCTTCACGGCCGACAGTGTAGTTCACTATTCTCATGAAATGCTGCACTGGGGCGGTTTCTTTTTGTGGTGTCTGGGTTTCCACCGGCCTCCCATTCCTCCGGCTCCATCGGGTCTAGCATGCCCTTTGCAGTAACGATCAGGACTGTTGTGTTCAAGGTTCCAGGCACTTGGGCTCTCTGTCCAGCTGACTTGCTCATCACAATTTCATTCCGTCTGGCACATCTCCAATCCACGTTTTCCTGATTCCGCTAGTGACTGATTCCTGCTATAAGCCTTATAAGGTTCAGTGGGACTTGCCGAAGTAGGGGCCGGAGCGTCAGCAGTGCTGGTCCTGGATCCAGCTGCTAGCCCTGCCTTTGCCACTGCCCCCATCCTCACTTTCGGCGTCTCTGATGCAACGCTCGCAGCAGGTGACCACCATCAGCGGCACGCTTGGGCCACCACCCCATCTACTGCCAATAGCAGGGACAGCAGCAGCAACATCCCAACAAGCATCGGTTGGAGCGGCGGGTTTAGCGGTTTCCGCTTCAGGACACCATCCACACCAGCAGCCTTTCCTTATAACAAGGTATTTGCATCTATTTTTTTTAAATCCATCTTTATTTACCATTTATGCTTATATTGGCCTTATCTAAAGCATATTGACTGGCTCCGCTAATTTTAAATGGCTACAGTTGGGGTCAACCAAATAGGGAGGAAGGTTCGGCCTAGACTGGAGACATCATAGTTTGACGACACCAGTAATCTTGATAGAGTAATTGATTTCTGACATCTTAATTTGAGTTTAATCTATTCAGTCTTCAAATAAAAACCGTTCCACAATTACTTGCTTACTGAATCTTTTTCCTCGTGATACGTATCACAGAGGGATAGTAAGAGAAAAGCATTGC